TCCTCCGTCCGTCGGGGGTGAGTGTGCTCTTAGCACGGACGTCCTTGAGGACAGGCAGGAGGAGTTCCAGTATTTTGCTGCTGCTTTACCTCATCTTGTGTCCATGCTGCTTGCCCCTGAGGGAGACCCGGATGCACCAGACATCCCGACCCCGCGCTCTTACGCAGAGGCGATAGAGGGTCCCTACTCCTCTTAGTGGCAGACAGCCATGGACGCAGAGATGGCTTCCTGGAAGTCCACAGGCACCTACGTCGACGAGGTTCCCCCACCTGGGGCGAACATTGTCGATGGCATGTGGATTTTCAAGGTGAAGCGGCCGCCGGGTTCTCCGCCTGTCTTCAAGGCGCGTTACGTGGCTCGAGGCTTCAGTCAGCGGCAGGGAGTTGACTACTTTCAGACCTTCTCTCCCACCCCGAAGATGACCACTCTTCGGGTATTGCTGCACGTCGCTGCTCAGCGTGACTACGAGCTTCACTCTCTTGACTTCAGCACAGCCTTCCTACAGGGCAGCCTTCAAGAGGAGATCTAGCTGCGCCGCCCACCTGGCTTCACTGGGTCGTTTCCTGCAGGTACCCAGTGGAGCCTCCGGCGGCCAGTCTACGGTCTCCGCCAGGCGCCCCGTGAGTGGCACGACACACTGAGGACTACGCTTGCGGCTCTTGGGTTTGCTCCTTCCACTGCTATCCCGTCGTTGTTTCTCCGCACCGACACCACTCTGCCGCCGTTCTACATCCTCGTGTACGTCGACGACTTGGTCTTTGCTACTGCTGACACTCCTGGTCTGGCCCACGTGAAGTCGGGGCTGTAGAAGAGACACACGTGCACAAACCTGGGTGAACTGCGCAGCTATCTTGGCTTGCAGATCACCCGGGACAGAGCACGGCGCACCATTACCTTGACTCAGTCACACATGGTGCAGCAGGTCCTTCAGCGCTTCAACTTCACGTACTCCTCGCCTCAGGCCACTCCTCTGTCTACTCGCCACTCGCTCTCAGCTCTGCCTTCGGATGAGTCCGTAGAGCCGAGTGGCCCGTACCCAGAGCTTGTTGGCTGCCTCATGTACCTGATGACCTGCACTCGACCTGACCTGGCATACCCTCTTAGCATCTTGGCACGCTATGTTGCTCCTGGGAGACACCGACTAGAGCACATGGATGCAGCTAAGAGGGTGTTGCGCTACTTGTGCAGTACGTCGGGCATGGAGCTTGTGCTTGGAGGACGGGCTCGAGTTGTCCTCACTGGTCACGCAGACGCTTCTTGGGTTGACGACTTGGCTACTCAGCGGTCGTCACATGGTTACACCTTCAGCATTGGTTCCGGCTGTGTTTCGTGGCGGTCTACCCGCTCGTCTTCTGTTCTCAGCTCCAGTTGTGAGGTTGAGATCTACGCTGGGGCCATGGCTGCACAGGAGTTACGCTGGCTCGCCTACCTGCTGACCGACTTGGGAGAGGCGCCTCGTTCTCCTCCAGTTCTGTATGTCGACAACAGGGCCATGCTTGCCTTGTGTCAGGAGCACAGACTGGAGCACAGAACGAAGCACATTGCTCTGCACTACTTCCTTGCTCGAGAGTTGCAGCAGCATGGTCAGCTTTGTCTTGCTTACGTGGCCACTCGGGCCAACACTGCTGATATCTTTACCAAGGCACTTCAGCCTTGTGATCATCAGCGTTTTTGTACTATGCTAGGTCTTGTGCCTACTTGGCCTCACTTGCTCACTTCTTGACTTTGTTTGTACTGTGATCTATATATACCTGCATCTGCATGCCTACCCTTGCTAGGTTGAGATCACTGTCTTGCTTGTTCACCTTGATATATAACTCTGCATGTGAACTGGCCTTGTGGCCTTGTGCTTGTGCTCAGAATGTGTGGTGACGTCGTGATCCACCCTGAGCTTGCTTTGCTTTGCTTGACTGGTCTTGTGACCTCTTGTTCTCCCCCACTTTGCCTATGGAGGTGTGTTAAACATATATGATATAGCCTGTGTAGGCTGTAGTGGGGTAGACATTATGGGGTACAGCTTTTCTAGGTTTTCATATACTTGTACCCATCTCCTTTCTAGTCCACACCATTCCTCGTACTATTCTCACAGGTATTGGCGTGGGCAGCACAGGACGCGGCGTAATCCTAACACAAGCAGGTTGACAGCAGGTTGTTGCACGAGGGCGACGGGATTCTGACGTGCCTGAATCGGGCGTTGACACCACGCTGACACCCTGTTTCAGCCTAATGCTATGCCCGGCATTCTTCGCGCTATGAATTTAATATGCAGTGCTAGTCTCGCTATGCTAGACTCTGCCGAGCTGCGCTCCCCATTGCACAGAGGTGGGTCCGTTCCCTGGCGGTGTCAAATTCCCTTGTGTACGAGAGTGATAGAGATAGCGCGACTCTGTGCTGAGAGCCTCACGTTCCATGCAAGGGATGAGACGTCCGAGGCGGTCTGACACAAAGCATTGGACGTGGTACACGTTGGTCGGCCCCCAATCTGTAATGCTGGTTACCATTGAATATGGGCCAATGAGCATGACGCATTCAGATGCTTCATAGATTGTGCCCGGTTTCTCGTCTCAAGACATTCGCGGGGTGTTTCCTCGTTAAAAAAACACAAATATGCATTAGAACACCCTTGCATTTCATTATATTTTAAAAAACATAGCACTTATCATAAGACCCGGATCTTATCGAATTTTTAGTCTATAATAAGACCCCCCCCCCCCCCCCCCCTTTTTTTTTTGTGAAATCAATAAGAGCCCCTAGGGTCTTTTATCCGGGGGAATACGGTACTGGAATGTATTTTCTTACACCCCATAATGTAACAATACATAACCCTAAAACGATTGTATCCCCTATTGCATGCCTCAAAATAGCCTACCAAACATACGCAACGCATGTTTCATATCATAACCACGAACTACATCTTGATTCTAACATTGATTTTCGATTCCGTAACCCAGATTTAATAAAATCCGAAATCTTTGTAGTTATATGTATCCGTTGCAAACGTTCCCTTCCCTGCATCATATAACCCAGCCTAAAATGTAGGCTGGGCTTGACACCGCGACTTGAGACTAGGTTTAATGTATTGTAGATTAAATCAGAATTGCACCGAACATCTTATAAAAAGTCGCATCTGTGTATAAGCTACATTATCTTCTCTGAAGTCGCATTTTTGCACGTGGGCGTGGACACACCCTCCCCGCACGTTCGGTGGCCGAACAAACGCTAGCACCGTTTTGCAATGTCAACCGTCAAACTCATGTAGAACCGTGGTTTTCGTAAGCGGGAAATCAGCACGTCGAATCGCGTTCTGTTTATTATTGGCCCCATATTGCGTGATGCTCAATTCTACAAGTCAGCACAACGTTTGCTACCGAGCTCACGTAGCATCTACAGTTGCGCTGGTGGCCTCGTTGTTCCCAGTGGCCGATGGGTGGGTGGGTGGACGCATCTTCCACCCTTCCACTGAGCATTGGGAATTCGGGACTAGGGCCTATCAGGGCCCAGAGCTCGAGTTGCTTTCCAGAGTTCCGAGTCCAAACCAGTTGAGTAACTAGTTTCGTTGAGAGCCGATTTGCCCCTGGCGACGCTCGCCAAAGACGCAGTCCGGGTTTCTGCTCCACCAAATGCTGCTATTGTTCCACACCCTCAGCACATCCACTCTCGCTGGTTATTAATTTCTTCGAGATACAGTAACAGCCCCCAAGGCGTGCATCTACAGTTGATCTGCAGAACAGAGAGTGGGGGCGGGGGAGACGCGCAGATGTAGTTGAGGACGCGTCACAAGGGAATGACGGACCGCCCTGGTTTCGGGTTTCCGATTCCTTTCAGCAGTGGTTTTGACACCGTCTTGCTTCGCGCTCGAGTCCGATACCTTCGGTCAGTTATTTATGCTATTGCCCCTTTTCGAGTCCAGAGACTAATATTTTGTTTATTTATTGGGATATCATAAATTGAATTGTCGCGTCAATTACGAGAAGCTCGGGACAAATAATATTACCCCTCATTGAGTGCATGCCATTTGGGAGGCATCAACCCTAAACACCATGAGGCAAGGTGTTTAGGGTTGATGCCTCCCAAATGGCCAGCCATCCGAGAGGGGTTTATTTTTTCCATTGGCCACTAAACTAAAACCAGGAAACTTCAGATTTTTCCTGGTCACAGGAAATTGGAAATGTCGAAATCAGCTGCCCCAAGGAATCGGACGCGAACGGAGAAGCAAGGCGGTGTCAAAGCCACTGCCCAAAGGAATCGGAAACTTGAAAACAAGGCGATCCGTCATTTCCTCGCGTCACATATCCCACCACCATCTAGGGATCGGTGTGTCTTCTAGTGTCAGTTAGAGGTCTTCACGACTCTCAACTCCCTCCATCAGACACTCTTTCCCACATCTCACATCAAAGTATTCAGCTGGATGCCTTATGCACTCAAATTTAAACCCCTGCATTAGAGGAAACATTACTAAGAAAAGAACCTCGTCAGCTCTCCGTTACTACTCTCGGCCTGCATTAGTAATGTTGGCGTCCATTACATCCTCACTCATCGTAGCGCAACCGTTTTCGCTGGCGTTATAGTTCCACTAGATCCATCCGACTCGGAGTAGCACTACTAGCGTGACCGTCTCCAAATAGGATTTGACCCAAGTCATTATGGATTCCCCGCCGGCCTCGCAATCATCCCAGCAGGTTCGGTTTCCTCTGACTTATCCACCGAGCCAGCGTCCGAGCCTACCACCGAGCCAACCGCCGCCGTGGCCGGCGTACGAGCCGGCGGCGATCCACAAGCTGCCGCGCGACGTGATCGCGAAGATATTTTCGCATCTGTCCGTCGCAGACCGGTGCTCCGTGTCGCTCGTGTGTCGCCTGTGGTTTCGCTACGAGCGACTGCTGCCACATTACATGCAGAGCGAGGTATGATGGTTGTCTCATCCCTTGGGATCCATCGTTTTGCCGCGGCGTTGAAACATGCAGCGGCACGTAAAACCGCATTTTCCATGTGGCGGTACCATGCGGTTACTACCATTTACTCTGCAGGCGGCAGCAGGCGAGGTAAAATCACGACGACATCACGTGGTCACACTCCCATCCTCCCCCATGCCGCGGCACCATGCGGCAAGGCGAGGTAAATCTCTTTTGAAACCCTAAAAATAAGAGTAAGTTCCGTTGGTAACCATTTTTTTTCCATCCGAGGAGTCCTCCTCTTCTGAGGGTAAAACAAAGGGCTCAGCCAAACAAGGTTGGTAGTAACCTCGAAACATAGTACGTCCTTCCCCCTGGGGGCTTCCCATCTCTCCCCCAACCCAACCTCCTCCCCTCCCCCCCCTTCCCCCCCCCCCACCCCCCTTACTACCCCCACCCGCCCGCCGCTCCCCGCAGGTGAGCGCGGCCGAGCTCCGCTTCGTGCTGCGCCGCTTCCCCCTCATCCGCACGTTGCGCATCCGCTTCTTCGGCCCCACCGTGCTTCCGGAGGCTCCGCGGGAGCAGCGCGCGGAGGACCGCCACCACAAGCGCCCGGGCGGAGGGGGAGTGCGGGCGGCGGGAGTAACAGGGGTTGGGGACGGCGGAACGGGGGCTGGGGAAGGCGGAACAGGAGCAGGGGGAGGCGGAACAGAGGCTGGGGGAGGCGGAACAGGGGCTACTATTATTAGGGGAGGAGGAACGCGGAGAGAACCTCAAGCCGCGGCGGCGGCGGCGGTGGGTGACTCCACTCCGCTCGCCTCCATCCCCGCGTTTCCCATCAGCGACGCGGATGTTCTCGACGGGTCAGCCATCGTGCGGCTGCTCTCTCTCAACACGCCCCTGCAGATCCAACAGGTGGCAGGCACACAGGTGGAATACCTCTCCATCTGTAACTGCGGCGAGTTCGAGGTTCACCAGGGATTAAGAACGTACATGTGCGACACGATTGCCACGTGGGGGCGCAGTATTAGGCACATTGAGATGCACGACCCAATGCCTTCCGCGGATGAGTTTTGGAAGTGTGTGGAGGGGCACCCGGCGCTTAGCAAAGTGACGGTGTATAATTGCACGCACTTAACGGACGGGTTTCTGCGCCACGTGGCCAAGTGCGGGGGGCTCAAGGAGATCTCGATCGCCAGCTGTCCGAACGTGAGTGGCGGCGGATTTGCTGAGCTGGCGGTGATGTGTCCCGGATTGGAGGGGATGGTTTTGGAAGATCTGACTTTGTCCGTTGTGCCACAAGCAAAGAAAGCGCGCAGTGCGCCTGGAAGAGGGCGCGAGGGCGGGGGAGGGGTGGGGGAAGGGAGAGCGGAAGAGAGTGGGGAATGGGAAGGTAGAGGGATAGGGGAAGGGAGAGGGATAGGGGGGGGGAGAGGGGTCGGTGAATGGGAAGGGAGAGAGGAAGAGAGGGTGGGGAGAGCAGCGGGAGGGGAAGCGGAAAGGATGCGGGGAGAGGAAGGGGAAATGGAGCGGGGCGGGGGAGGGGAGGATGTGCGCATGGGCGAGGGGGGAGGAGAGGTGGAGAGAGGGGCTGGCGGCATGGAGGGTGGGTATTGGCGGGAGGAGGACAGGGCGCATGAGGGCACTGGGCGGGCGGATGGGTTGGATGGGGCGGAGAGGGCAAATGAGGGGGATGGGTGGGATGGGGCGGTGGGGCCGAGTGGAGAGGCAGAGGCAGCAGCAGAGGGGCAAGCAGGAGCAGAAGGGAGGGAAGCAGCAGGAAGGGGAGGGAATCTCGCTGCCTCCTTCCCCAACCTCTCCTCCTTGAAAATCATCAACTGCGTGCTCGATGCTCATTGGCTGGAAATGTTTGCCGGGCAGCTGCCCGCCCTGCGCAGGCTGACCGTCATGGCCTGCCCAGACCCGCTTAACCGCTTTTTTCTGACCGCTGCCCGAACAGCTGCCCGGCTGGAAAGTGTTGAGATAGTGGACTGCGAGGGTGTGAGTGACAGAGGGATTGTAGCTCTCCTGAAAGGCTGCCCGACAATCAACTCCCTGACACTGAGTGGGTGCGAGGCAGGGCAGGGAGATGGAGGAGAGGGAGGAGGCAGAAGAGGAGGAGAGGCAGGAGGAGGAGAATGGGGAGGAGAAGGAAGAGGAGGGGGAGGAGAAGGAGGATGGGAGGGAGGCAGTAGAGGAGTGACGAGGGTGACGGATGAGAGTTTACGGGCGGTGGTGGTGCATGGAGTGGGGTTGCGATCGCTGCAGCTCAAGTGGAGCCCCGGCTTCACTGGCCTCCAGCTCGCGAGAGACGTGCTGGGCTCTGTTCGTCCAGTATTGTCTGCTCATGAGTCTGCTCCTGTGTCGCTGTCACCTCGTGGCTTGGATTCCCTTGGGTTACAGTCAGATGTGGTACAAGCCCTTTTGCCACAGTCACATGTGTTACAAACGCATGTGTTGCAGTTGCACAATGTGCCGACACATGGTATACACACGCATGCCGTACAGTCTCCTGACATGCACACACATCCCTTACAATCACCTGAGGCACACGCGCACCCTTTACAACCACCTGACACACACGCACATCCCTCACCATCACCTAGCATGCACGCGTACCCCTTACAGTCACCTGACACACACGGTTATGGCGTACAGTCACACCAGTTACAGTCACACAGGGTACAGTCACACCGGCTACAGTCACACGTGCTGCCGCTGCTGCAGGTGGGGTGGAGTGGGGTGGAGAGTCTGCAGCTGGAGGGGTTGGATGGGCTCTCCGATTCCTTCCTGCTGCTCGCTGCTGCCACCTGCCCCCGCCTCTCCACACTCGCTGTGGAGTACTGCAGGTGCGTTGCCGTGTGATATAGTGGTGCTGGGTGCAGAGTGGAGCTGGGTGCAGAGTGGTGCTGGGTGCAGAGTGGTGCTGGGTGCAGAGTGGAGCTGGGTGCAGAGTGGAGCTGGGTGCAGAGTGGAGCTGGGTGCAGAATGGTGCTGGGTGCAGAGTGGTGCTGGGTGCAGAGTGGTGCTGGGTGCAGAGTGGTGCTGGGTGCAGAGTGGTGCTGGATGTTGTGCAGTGGTGGTTGTTTGTGTACTTTTTGGTGAAGTTGTCCTCCCTCCGTCCTCCCCTCCCCTCCCCCCCCCCCTCTCGTTTTTTTATTTTTTTTATATTTTTTTTTTTAAGCCCCCCTCTCCCCTCCCATTTCCTTCCCCTCCCTGCTGCCTGCCTGCAGGGAGGTCATCCTGCTCGTGCGGTTGTGTTTTTTTTATCTTCCTTTCTTACTTCCTTTCTTACCTTCCTCCCTCCCTCCTTCTACCCAAAGGGATACCTCAGAGGCGCGGTTCATCCTTCTCGTGCCACCACCTGCAGCACATTTGCTTGTCTGATTCCTTTCCTTCCCAGCCTCTCACTTCATTTCCCTCCACTATCCACTCACGCCCAATCCGCCCTCACTCCCGCTCTCCCTGCTTTCTCCTCACAGGGAGATCTCAGAGGCGGGGCTCATTCCCCTTGTGCAGTCGTGCCGCTGCCTGCAGCACATGTGCTTCTCTGGCTTCCGCGCCGGCCACCTCTCACTTCGTTTCCCCCAACTGTCCTCTCCCATGCCCAATCCTCCCTCCCTCACAGGGAGATCTCAGAGGCAGGGCTCATCCCGCTCGTGCAGTCATGCCACAGCCTGCAGCACATGTGCTTCTCTGGCTTCCGTGCCAGCCACCTCTCCGACCTTCTCCTTCACACCATCGCCTCGCACTGCCCGCTGCTCTCCACCCTCTCCCTTCGCGCCTGTAACGGGGTTACCACACAGGGCGTCGTGCGTGTGCTGCAGGGGTGCGGGCAAATCGCGAGGTGCCAGCTGGCGCGGTGTCAGGAGGTGGATGAGGAGTGGGTGGTGAGGGCCGCGAGGGAGGTTGGGGAGGTTCGGGCGAGAGGAGCAGGAGGGAGTGGAGCAGCAGGAGGAGCAGTAGAGGTGCTGGGGAGATGCCTGTGATTGAGATATCCTGAACTCCTTTGTAAGGCGGTCTGCTTGCGGAGGAAAAGCTTCCGCGCCATGTGTAGTTTAGGTAAGTTGTTTTTTGTTTCAGCAATTTAGCAAAGTAGGTTAGTTGTTTTTATTAGATGTTGGTGAGTATCTTTGTCTGCATATTTAGTAAGAATAAATCTGAAGTGTACTCTCCATTGTGCAGGCACTGACTCCTCACTCACTGACCCACCATTCCGCAATGGCTCACAGCATGACCCTCACTGCAGCTTTATTCGTGCCCCCCCATATGACGCCAACTGTTCCCCAAATGCTCAGAACCCTCGTCCTAATCCCACCACCGTCCCCCATGCATTTCACAACTTCCGGCTGACAGCATGACCCTCACTGCAGATCTACTCTTGCTCCCCCATATGATGCCAACTGTTCCCCGGAAGCTCTGAACCCTCGCTCTCTCTAGTCTCATCACCATCCTCCATGCATTTCTGCAACTTACGGCTGACAGCATGACCCTTACTGCAGCTTTCACTCTTGCTCCCCCCCATGCGCCATCCCTTCCCTATAAGCTCGACGCGCCTCAAAAGGCTCACAGCATGACCCTCACTGCAGCTCTACTCTTGCTCCCCCGTATGCGAACTGCCCCCCATAAGCTCAGAACCCTCTCTCTCAAATCCCGCCATTCCGCCATACACACAGTGTCCTGATCTGAACCCCCACCGTTCTCCACCCTGCCCCCCCACCCCCCCCTAGACATGAGCAACGAGCGAACCGAACACGTTTGTCTCGAACAGTTTGCGAACACTTGGTCAATTTGAACCGAACCAAACACGTTTGACTCGAACAGTTTTCCTAAATGTTAGTGTTCCCCGTTCGAGTATAGGGTCGAACAGTTTTGAGGCAAGCCCGAACACTACCGTAAGGTGTTTGACCCGAACTCGAACAGTTTGCCTTGGGGGGTTCTTTCAGTATAGTCACATTCAGGCAGGGCGAGTGTACTAGAAGCAAGGTCACGTTCCCTAAAGCCCTACAAGAGATATAGTTAAGCTTGGTGCGGATCTGGTGGATATCCAATTTTGCCTTGCTAAACTCCAACCTAAACCGTAATGCCCTTGGTTCCTGTTTTTAACCGTCTCCTACCCTGATCCAACCTCATACCTAACGTTTCCAGCCACAAAGTGGAATTTTAACCGTGGGAATGTGGTCGTTTAAGTTGTTAAATGTAAGAACGAGAATGAATGAACTAGCAAAGAGTTGGGTACAAGTACTAACCCTAATTGGGTTGTACCCCTTATGGGCTACCCCACTACAGCCTACACAAATGTATAAGCTAAAATGTTCTGACACACCCCCATAGGCAAAGTGGGGGAGAACAGGTGCAGGGAGAGGAGTGAGAGTGGTGCTGTCACGAAAGAAACAGCGCGAGGCGCCTGAGTCCAGCGTGAAGGTGTGCAAGGCCTCAGCAGGCGCAGTACCAGGGGGAGTACCAGACGCTCTAGCACCTAGAGCAGCAGCCGCTATACTTGGGTCAGGTGGCACACACCGGTAACAGTCACCCTCAGCACTAAAAGACAAAGCATACATGGCAGAGATAATAGCATCATAGTCTAGGTCAAAGATAGCAACTCCCGACCTAAGCAAATCCGTCCAGCGAGGGCGCTCGACGTCGTCACCAAACTCAGCACGCCAGGCGTCGTCAAGGCGCGAGAAGCAGTGGTGCTCAGTGTGAAACTTCCCGCAGGTCTGACCAGCACGGACACCCGTGCGAATGTCATACGGGCAGGTCTCACTACCCCCACCCGTCCCACGCTGAACCAACCACTCACGGAGCTGCTGGGGCGACTGGGTCTCGCTCCGACGCTGCTGCTGCTGTCGCTGACCACCACCATGGCCTCCACGCCGAGGTCCAGACCTGCCAGCACCAGTCCCACCGCCTCCACTGCCGCCACTCCCTCCGCTGCCTCCACCGCCGCCACCAGAGCCCCCACTGCCGCCACCAGTCCCACTGCCGCCACCACCTCCACTGCCTCCACCACCTCCACCGCTGCCCCCACCACCGCTCCCACTGCCACCTCCACCACCACCGCTGCCACCTCCACCACCCCGGCCACCCTTGCCCTTGCTACTGCGGCGCTTCGCACTAGTCGAAGCAGCACCGACGTCCTCAGTAACAGAGACGTCTGCAGCAGCAGCAGAGGCGAAGGTGGGGGAAAGGGGAGAGGGGGAGCACCCCTCAAAGAAGGGCGGGCGCGGAGTGCCACGAGCAGCACCTACAGCAAGTGCACTAGTCTCAGCTGCGAGGAGATGCTGCTCGAGGAGGTCAACAGTGAGGGAGGTTGGGTCAAGGGAGAGAAAGTGGTCCCTGACAGAGCGACGAGAGTCAGGGAGGCGAGAGACTATGAAGTAGAGGGTGATGAACATAGGGGGCTGGTTCGTGGCAAGGAACTCAGCAGGGACGGTAGCGCGGTAGCGAGCGTCGCTAGTGCGCAGGTGGGTAACCGGGTCCGCTACTGTGGCAAAAGCCGACAGCTCAGGGAACAGGTAGGGCAGTAGCAGTTTGCCTAGAGCAGCAGTGGCAGGGGAGGAGTAGCGAGTGACTACAGTGTCGTACAAGGCCTGTGTTGTCCTGTGCTGTCCAAAGTGAGTACATTCGGCCACCGGCAGGTGGTTGCAAATGGCTAAGCGGGCAGTAGCGTCACGAGATAGTCACTGGGAACGAGTCGCACCGTCAGCTGTGGCGGGAGGGGCTGGAACGACACCGGACACGTGGTCAAACAGTGAGACACTGTCCTTAATATCGCTCAGTTGGTACAGTTGCAGATCGTCGTGCCACGTATCAAATGCAACCGGTCTGCCCTCATGATCGAACGCTAGAACTCTAAGCGAAGCCATAGTGGCGCAGCACTCAGGAGCAGCAGTAGCAGCATTAGCGAAGGGGCCAAGGGGCGGGGCCGAGGGGCCTAGGGGCCGAGGGGCCAAACACGAGGGTGGCGGGGCCAAGGGGCCGAGGGGCCAAGGGTCCTAGGGGCCGAGGGGCCGAGGGGACTAGGGACCGAGGGGCCAAGAGGCCTAGGGGCCGAGGGGCCAAACACGAGGGTGAAGGGCCGAGGGGCCGAACAGGAGAGGCCACAGGGCCGAGGTGCCAAGGGGCCGAGGTGCCTGGGGGGCCAAGGGGCCAAGGGGCCGAGACTAGGGGCCGAGGGGCCTAGGGGCCGAGGGGGCCAAACAAGAGGGTGGCGGGGCCGAGGGGCCGAGGGGCCAAGGGTCTTAGGGGCCGAGGGGCCTAGGGGCCGAGGGGCCAAGGGGCGGGGCCGAGGGGCCAAACACGAGGCCGAGGGGCCGAGGCTAGGGGCCGAGGGGCCGAGGGGTGGGGCCGAGGGGCCAAACACGAGGCCGAGGGAGGGCCGAGGTTAGGGGCCGAGGTGCCTGGGGGCCAAGGGGCCAAGGGGCCGAGGGGCCGAGCCTAGGGGCCGAGGGGCGGGGCCGAGGGGCCAAACACGAGGCCTAGGGGCCAAGGCTAGGGGCCGCGGGGCCAGGTACGAAAGGGGCCAAGGGGCCGTGGGGCGACGGGCCGCGGGGCCAGGTACGCAGGGGCCGCGGGGCCGAGATCGAACGGGCCGGGGCGACGGGGCCTAGGCGACGGGCCGAGGGCGTCGGGGTCGGGGGCGACGGGGCCTAGGCGACGGGGCCGGGGACGACGGGCGAATGGGGCCGCGGGGCCAGTACGAAAGGGGCCAAGGGGCTGTGGGGCGACGGGCCGTGGGGCCAGGTACGCAGGGGCCGCGGGGCCTAGACCAAACGGGCCAGGGGCGACGGGGCCTAGGCGACGGGCCGTGGGGCCTAGGGGTGTCGGGCCGCGGGGCCGTGGGTCGCGGGGCCTAGGGGCCGTGAGTCGCGGGGCCTAGGGGGGGGCAGTGGGTCGCGGGTCACGGGGCCGTGGGTCGAGGGTCGCGGGGCCGTGGGTCGCAGGTCGCGGGTCGCGCGAGGGACGACGGGCGAAGGGGGGGGGGGGGGGGGGGGGGGGGGGCGAGGGGCCTTGGGCCTTGGGCCTAGGGCTACGAGGCCACGGGGCCAGGTACGAAATGAGCCGGGGGCGACGGGGTCTAGGCGACGGGCCGAGGGCGACGGGGTCTAGGCGACGGGGCGACGGGGCCTAGGTGACGGGCCATGAGCGACGGGCCAAGGGGCCGGGAGCGACGGGGCCTAGGCGAATGGCCGAGGGCGACGGGGTCTAGGCGACGGGGCCTAGGCGACGGGCCAAGGGGCCGGGAGCGACTGGGCCTAGGCGACGGGCCGTGAGCGACGGGCCAAGGGACCGGGAGCGACGGGGCCGAGGGGCCAGAAACGTAGGGCCGCGGGGCCTAGGGGCGACGGGCGCCAGGCTACGGGGCAGTGGCTAGCAGGGTAGCAGGTGGTGGGCCCAAAGAAAAGCGGTCCTAGGAGCGGACCTGCTCTGAAACCATGTTAAATGTAAGAACGTGAATGAATGAACTAGCAAAGAGTTGGGTACAAGTACTAACCCTAATTGGGTTGTACCCCTTATGGGCTACCCCCACTACAGCCTACACAAATGTATAAGCTATAATGTTCTGACTTAAGTGGGTAGGGGGCGGAATGCCATCCTTAGGCTATATCGACGATTGAGCTCATTCTTGAGCTAAATCGTCGCCCCCCCCTTTTAGATCCAACCAGCGCGTCAAACTTTGACGCGCAGAAAAATGCACAAACAACTAGGTGTTTGTGACAAACACATTGTGTTCGCGAACACCTAGATGTTGGTGCATTTTTCTGCACACGAACACTCGAACAGTCGAACGTGTTTGTGACGAACACCTTGGTGTTCGTGACGAACAATTTTGGGCAAAAAAACCATTCGAACACGTTCGAGTCGAACACTTTCGAGTCGAACCGAACAGGGGTTCGAATTTTTGCACATGTCCCCCCCCCCTCGCCCTGCCCCCCCACCCTTCCCCCCCGGCCCTGCCCCCGTCCCCTCCCCCCCCTGCCCTGCC